CCCCTCCCCTGGCAGTTTCCCACTACTGCCAATCCCACCCCTGCCCTCCCCTGACAGTTTCCCACTACTGCCAATCCCTTCCTTATAGCATTACGATCATTGTTCAAGGTCTGCTTGTGAGTGAGAACATGTGATACTCAGTTCTTTGTTTCTGTGATGGATCACATCTTACAATACAAACCAAGCCTTTGGCCCAGTTCCTCAGAAATTACCACAGAGGGCTTCGCCCCACTCTGTCTCATTGATAGATACATTTTCATGATGAAATTTGGGTGAAGTTTATGAGTAACAACAATAATAATGATAGTAATAATAATAATACTAACTACCTTTCAGTGAGCAACTTACTATGTGCTAGTTGCTTTACATCCACCATTGTATGCCATCCATACCAAATTCTGGGAGTGGGGATGTATTTTTTCTGTTTTGCAAAAGGAGGAAGCTATTGCTCAAAAAAATTAAGCAAGTTGTTTAACAATCACACAGCCGTCATTGGCAAGCCTGTCTGTCAACAGATCTATATTCCCAGCCTCTGCAATGCACCCTCACTAAGTGAGATGCCCTTTATCCACAAACAATTTTGCAATCCACTTACCCCTGGGTGTTGTTTCTCTGACCGCCACATGTAATGAACAGAGGGTTCTCAGGTAGGTTGCAGTCACTGAGGAAATGATCAAATTAGTTAGGCATTTTTCTTTTCCTTTCTTTCCTTTTTTCTTTTTTCTTTTTTTTTTTTTAGGACAGGGTGTCATTATGTTGCCCACTCTGGTCTCAAACTCCTGGACTCAAAGGATCCTCCTACCTCAACCTCCCAAAGTGCTAGGAATACAGGCATGAGCCACCATGCTCAGTCTAACTTAGGCATGTTTATGCCTTCTTTTCAAGTGTGAATTTTACTGAGAATTGGTGGTGTGTTTCAATCACCTCCAAAAGGCTTTAAGTGTTCATTACTTTGCCATACAGGACCATTTAAGAACTCAAGTACTTCTAGATGAGGGTAGATAGGCTAGCTGCTGGTGTATGATGGTAACACAGGTAGCCCCATGCTACCGGTCACCCCAGACTCACAGCCCTCTTCCCTCCTGGCTCCACCTGCTGCACTGCTCTAGGCAAGATGAAACATCTCAGAATCAGAGACTATACTAGAAACTGGCTCCCAGCTATGTCACCTTTCACCCAATTATATCTGTTTATGCCCAAATATGTCTGAATTTCTCAACTTCATTTCTTTAAAAAAATTTTATGAATTCCATAATTAAATAGGTAATAAGATATCCCCCTTCACAAGTGAAAAGACCTCTGAGAATGTAAGAGATAAACTCTCTTGATTAGGGGCTTTTCCCCAACTCTTAACAGAAGCATCAAGGGAATGGGCATTAGTAGGAGAAGCATGTTCTGGAATAAAGACTATTTCTTTCCTTTTTCTTTCTTTTTTTTTTTTTTTAAGTCAGAGTTTCACTATCGCCCAGGCTAGAATTCAGTAGCATGATCATAGCTTATTGCAGCCTCAACCTCCTAGGTTCAGACAATCCTTCTGCCTCATCCTCCTGAGTAGCTGGGACTACAGGTGTGTGCCACTATGCCAGGCTAATTTTTCTTTCCTTTTTTTTTTTTGGTAGGCATTAGCAGTACTGCCCTCCCTAGATGCTCATTGGACAGCAGCGCAACCCCAAGAAAAGAAGGGTCTTCTTTCATTATTTTCTTATAGAGACAAGGTCTTGCTATGTTATCCAGGCTGGTCTTGGACTCCTGGGCTTAAGCAATCCTCTTTCCTGAAGACTATTTTAAGGAGAAGATGATTTGTATGGAGATCACTGAGGAAAGCTCAGGGTAGCATGAAAGCAGTATATGGAGTGTAGGGGTAGGGATAACTAGCTACTAGAAAACAAATTCCAAAAAGGAGGTGGGAAAAGGAGAAGGCAATCTTTTCCTATCAAAATATTTCTTTGGATCAGCTTTCTGCTGAAGAAAATGCTCTCTCTTTGAATCTTGTCTCCATCCCAGGACTCAGAAGCCAGCCTCACAGCATTAGCATTAGAATTATAAATACATTTTGAGGCTAAGTCGAGCTCTGGCTAGGAATGTGACTACCACTACTTCATTGTTTCTTTAGAAAAATATACCATGAGTTCCAATAACATAAATGAGTTTTGGAAGATAACCTATTATTAGAAATCTGGGAGACAACTATTAATATGAAAATATTTATATTTTTCTTTCTGTCATAAATTTGTGTTGTCTCTCTTTAGAGACTTCCCCAAATTTCCCATAAATGTTGATGAATCTTTCTTTGTATGTGTGTGTCAAGAAGTAATCAACTCAAGGAATTTTATGCTTTGGTAAATTAGGACAGGATTAAGAGACAAGAAATATGTTCCTTCTCAATTAGTTGTTCCTAATTAAAGAATAAAATCCTGGCTGGGTGCAGTGGCTCACGCCTATAATCTCAGCACTTTGGGAGGCCAAGGTGAGAGGATTACCTGAGCCCAAGAGTTTGAGAGACTAGCCTGGGCTGATATAATAAATCAAAAAATTAGCCAGGCGTGGTGGCGTGTGCCTGTAATTCCAGCTACTTGAAAGGCTGAGGCAGAAGGATCACCTGAGTCCAGCAGGTTGAGGCTACGGTGGCCATGAGTGTGCCACTGTCCTCCACCCTGGGTGACAGAGTGAGACTCTAATTCAAAAAAAAAAAAGAAGATTCAGCCACACTTTTTTTCTTAGCTATTTGGAGAACCAAACCAAACACAAACACCAAAAACTGTTTTCCATTTGAGAATCACTATACATGGATTATATAAAACAAAGCAAATGCAGATCATTCACTAGAACTTGGCCATGTGTTACGAATCTTTCCAATATAAACTTGACTTCCTTCTTATATAATTATAATGATAGTAACTAACATTTATTAAGTGCTTACTAAACCCTTTACATGAGTGATCTCATTTTCTCCTATGATAAAAATAGTACTACTGTCCCCATTTTGCAAATGATAAAACTAAGACTTTGGAAGGTTTAGCAACTTGTTCCAGGTAACTCAGTAGTCAGTGGCAGATGTCTCAAATTTCACATCCCAACCTCTCCACAACCATGCTAGCATGAACCTAAATATCCAGGACCACAAAAAAAGGAGCTTGGAGATTTTACTTGAGGTTTATTTCACCATTTTAAAAAATGCACTTATATTAGATTGTTTATTGATACCAAATTGTTACTCATTGAGTCTTATAAACAAATTTACTAGATACCAAGCTATAGTCAAATTTATCATCAAAGAGAATTCAGTTTCAAATCAACATAATATGTAATTATGGTGAACACAGTTTGAATACAAACAAATGTTTTTAATGACAAAGGAACATCATCCAGAGTGTAATATTCTGGAGCTGTGCCTCCGTAGTCCACTTCAACTTATAAATACCCAACCCTTCTGTAAACTACCCAGAATAGTCTCCCAGGCACAGTCCTGACCAGATGACTCTGTTTCCCACAGCTGTTGGTGCAGTCCACTATCCAAACCCACATTCCAACCCTGTTCAGGTCAGCAGTGGGGACAGACTAATGTCTAATGGTATGGTTGAGAATTGGTTTTCGGGGGACGGTTGACTCTCTCAGATCTAGGGTAGATTCTGTGAAAGCCTAATGACCTATTATAGCTGGGATTGAGTACAATCTCCATCTCTTCTGAGCTATATTTGGTCTGAGTCTCTAACACTTGTCCTAAGCATATTGAGGAGAAGAAAAAGAACTAGAGGTTGAGCAGTTGTTTCATCTGGGTTAGATGTCACATTTCAACAGGAGGCTGTGCTTTACAAATGCATTTATTTCTGATTTTATTATGGAGTATGCAGGGGAGGGTTGCATAGCTGGGGTTTGGTCTGCTTCTGTCCTTTTGGTGTTAGATGGAGTATCCTTTGAAACCCTCAGACCCAGAGAGGTCAGTTGGAGTGGAGAGATCAGTCACCACACCTCTGTTGCTGGCTACAGTAAGAACACAGTGTCAGAGCCCTTCCAGAGCCTCGGGGCCCAGTGTGGTCTCTCCCAAAAGAAGCAGATGGAGCACCAACCATTTCTCACAGACCACAAATTTTGCAACATCTGTCTCTCTATCCCTAAAACATGAGAGGCATCAACCAAACCAAGTGAATGGAAACTAGTGAGGTTTTTTTGAGTTAGTTGAGTTACCATTCTTTACTCTGTAAATAGGTTAGAAGCACACTTTATAAGATCTTATTTTGATTTGTTTTCCATCTGATCAGTTGAAAAAACTGAGTTATGTTGAGAAAAAAGGTAGGACGGCAGAGAGTGATTGGTATAAGAAATAGAGTAATAATTTACCTGGTACCATTCTCTAACATGAAACTTGTTAGATGGTAAATATTAGTGGACCAATATGCCATATCATCCAGTCCTCCAAGGAAATACTCCTGGAATTGTTCCACCAAGAATGGGGACTTTGTAGAGTAAGTGGAATAAAGCTATGGCACAGAGAAAGAAAGAATAAATAAATAAAGTACATTCCCGGTATCTTGACAATCCTTTAAACTAAGCTTTGGAAGAACAAAGGCTTTACCTTGGAAACAGCTAGCATCTCACCATACCTGCAACATATACAATAATTTTGGCCATAAGATACAGTTTTTATAGAGAAATGAAACAAATAACGAAGAAAAAGTTCCGTCCACCCATATCCACTATCATGCAACTGCCTTTGAATAAGCAAAATCCATAAATCCAAAATCCACTCCAAGGAAACTAAAACATGAAATGTGTGCCACAGAAGTCACAGTAAAATCAGCTATGCAGCCGGGTTCGGTGGCTCAGCCTGTAATCCCGCGCTTTGGGAGGTTGAGGTGAGTGGATTGCCTGAGTCCGTGGGTTCGAGACCTGCTTGGGCAACTTGGCGAGACCTCATCACTACAATAAATCAAAAATTAGCCGGGCGTGGTAGTGCGTTCCTGTAGTTCCAGCTACTTGGAAGGCTGAGGCGGAAGGATTGCCAGAGCCCAGCAGGTCGAGGCTGCGGTGAACGGGAGCGGCCACTGCACTCCAGTCTAGGTGACAGAGTGAGACTCCAACTCAAAAAAAAAAAAAAAAAATCAGCTGTGAACTGCCCCATGGGTTACACTTACATTTCCAAGAACTGAAGGTATGAGCAATCAACAATCACATTTTTGGTGATGACTTCTCGACCATAGAGTTTCTCATAAATTTCCAGTAGATCTTTGGCGGGCACATACCTGAAAAATGAAGAATTTAACAAGAATTGTTTTGATTCTGAAGTTGAAGATAATAATAACAAAAACAACAGCAGTTACCACTTATTTCATGATTATTATGTGCCAGACACCATGCAAAGGTCTTTACATGCACTAGTTATTTAATCCTACCAGTGAACCCAAGAGGTTAGTACTATTAAAATACTATTTTACACAAGAAGAAATAGAAGCACAGTAAAGTTAAATAATTTGTTCAATGATGTGCAAACAGCTGGTACCTTAATAAAATATGCATAAAAATATACTCAAAGACAGGAAACTAGCCAGAAAGTACAAAAGGAGTGCTTAATTTTTTGAGTTCAGAGTTTAAAAAGCAATTTAAAGTATTTTCATTCTTTTGAGTTGAGTTATTCTCAAGAGTCATTATTTTAAAAACAAAAATGGCTCCTCATCCCAACATCCTACTTTTAGAGTAAACAAAGTATAAAAATATACTAAGTAAATGAAGTCCAAAAGTATACAAGAGAATAAGTATACAAAAGAATAAATAAAGAAGGGACAATGTATAAAAGTATACAAAAGAATACTTAAAAGTATAGAAAGTATAGAAGTATAAAGTAGTGAACAGAATTCTAAGTCAGGCTTTTGGTTCATAGAAAAAAAGAATTTAAAAATTAGAATTATACTGAATCATCTTTTATCTTAATTTCAAAAAGGTACAAGACAAAAATCACAACCAGTAAAATCTGATTTTAGCATATTTACAGTAAAGAAGCAATGGAGACGTTAATTCATTTATTTTATGAGAGCATTGAAATCACTTTCCTAATAAAAATAGCTTAGAAGTCTAGACAAAAATAATAAAAAATATTTTTAAAAATGAATCACTAAGCTAGCAAGAAAGTGGAAATTTTTCAAAGGCCAAAAACAAATAGAAACTGAAAACCTTGACCGGTAAGCAAGTGGGAAAGCCAGCTTTCACCATGAGGACTCCTACTACATACTGGGAACTTGAAGACTTTTGATGGCTATATAGCATGAAGGTGACAGGAGTTAGAGGGTAGGTACCACCCAAAGTAAGCCATCTCAGAGGAGAGCCCTGCATTAAATCTGGAACACAAAAGACTATATCTTCTATATGAGTAGAGTTAGAAATAAACCAACATCCAAACAAGGACAGCAAAGAATCCTGCTTGTTTTCATCTGAGCATTGGAAAGGGAAGGAAAAGAAATATCTGCCCCCAGAATTGTTAACCACTGGCCAGTCCCATGAGTATTTTGCATTTGTGCTACCTGTGTAATCAGAAAACCTCAAAGGTTGAATGTACCTTAGAGGGACCCCAAGATAGTAGTGCCTCAAGGCAGCCTGCAAAAGCCAAGACAAACCTTCTCTGGAGAAATACAGCACTAACTCAAGCCCCAAGTAATTCAAGAACCATGGAAAATAACCAAAAGACAACCGGTATAACTACAGGCATATCTGGTAAAGTAGACTTTAAAGCAGCAAGCACTGTTTGAGATAAAGATGGCCACTACATCATGATAAAAGACTCAATTCACCAGAAAGACATGATTTTGAAACTGAATGTACCTAACAATGTATCTTCGAAACATATATGGCAAACTTTAACAGAACTACAAGAAATTGAAAAGTCTATCATCATAGGGGGACATTTTAAAAATAAATTTTTATCTTAGTAATCATTAGATTTATCTAATAAAAAATTTTAAAATAAATAGTAATGCTATTTTACTTATAGGTGACAAGTCTTTTGATCTGAATGGCAAATTTAATAAATTAGAGCTAATAAGCATATATTAAATGTCAAACCAAAAATTGGAGAATTAATATCCTTTTGAAGCACACATGAAATATTTATAAACATTGATCATATTCTAGGCTAGAAATCAAGACTCAATACATTTCACAGGAATCCAAAAAAGTTGGAGAAGGAAGTAAATGAATATGAGCAGAAAGTAATATAATAGAAAATGAACATAGAGAAGGAAGGATTAATAAAGCTGAAAATTCATTCTTTAAAATAATAATAGTCTGGGCTCAGTGGCTTAGCCTGTAATCCCAGCACTTTGGGAGGCTGAGGCAAGTGGATTGCCTGTGCTGGCGGGTTCGAGACCAGCCTTGGTAACTTGGTGAGACCTCATCTCTACAATACATCAAAAATTAGCCAGGCATGGTAGTGTGCGCCTGTAGTTCCAGCAACAGGGAAGGCTGAGGTGGAAGGATCGCCAGAGCCCAGCATGTCAACTCTGGGGTGGCCATGAGCGTGCCACTGCTCTCCAGCCTGGGCGACAGAGTGAGACTCCAACTCAAATAATAATAATTATTATTATTTTATTATTATTATTATATTAAACAAAATTAATTGCTTAAAGGTATGCTAAGGCAGGATAAACAACATTATGGTAACAGAGCAAACATAAGTACAAATAAAACAGAAGAATAAAAGGGCATATTATGAACAACCATATGTCAAAATGTTTAAAGACTTACATGAAATAGAAAAGTCCTAGAAAAATACAAAACTCCTTAAGAAGAAATTGAAACCATTAAAAAAGTTTATTTTAAATCTCCCACAAAGAAAATAACAGTGCTAGCTGGCTTTATAGGCAAGTTCTACCAAACATTCAAGTAATTAAAGTCTAGTATTACACAAACTTTCAGGGAATACAAAAAGAAGGAATACTCTTTGACTAATTTCATGAAGCCAGTAAAACCCCGATACCAAAATCAAACAAGGACAGAAGAAGAAAGGAAAACTACAGTACAAACTCACTCATAAACCTATATGCGAAGACTCTAAATAGAATGAATTAAGCAAATATAAAAATAATAGCATGTCATGACCAAATTGATTTTGTCCCAGGAAGCAAGGCTTTATTTACCATTGACAAATAGATTAGTATAAGTAACAATATCAACAGAGTAAGAAAGAAACAAATAACTATCTCAACAAGAGTTCAATAAAATCTAATTTTGATTTGTGAATAAAAACTCTAGCAAAATAGAGACTAAGAGAAAACTTCCTTAACTTCATAAAGGGTATCCAAAGAAATCTATGCCAAATATTACACTTAATGATAGAATTTTGAAAATATTTTCTTTAAGATTGGGAACAAATTAAGAATGCTCAATATTACCCCTTCAATTCAGCATTGTACTGAAGGTATTAGTAAGGCTGACACAGCAGGAAAAGTAAATTAAAGGATAAAGACTGAAAAAGAAAAGTGAAACTGTCACAATTTGTAAATGATAAATTGTGAGTCTATAGTAAATCCAAAAGATTCTCCAGATAAATTATTAGACTAATAAAACAGCTTAGAAATGTTGTTAAATACAAAATCAAAATTACAAAGCCATTTGCATAGCTATACAATCAATTAAAAAATATAACTTTAAAAAGTTACCATTTATGATGGCAAATAAAAATATAAAATCTCTGTGACTAAGTCTAAATAAAATATATAAGATTGTTCATTCTCCTCCAATTCATCTCTGGATTAAATAAGCTTCTAATCAAAATTCCAACAATGTTTTTCATAGAACATGACAACCTGGTCCTAAATTTCATTTGAAATAATAGACAAGGTACTTTTGAAGAAAAAAAAAAGAACTAGTTAAAAGATCTGCCCTAATAGAGGTCACAACTTATTATAAAGCTAAAGTAATTAAAACAATCAGTATTGCCCAGGAGTAGCCAATTAGACCAACAGAATATAATAGCAAGCCTAGAAACTGACCCATACACACACAGAATTTTAATTTCTACCGAGAGAGAGTATTGCAGATCAGTGAGAAATGGGTAGACTATTGATAAATTATCCTGGGACAATCAGTTATCTCCATAAGAAAAAAATGAAATTAGATTTACTTGTCAAAATATACAAATAATTAATTCAGGTAAATTAAATACTTAAAATATAAAATACTTAAAATATAAAACTATAAAATCTTTAGAAGACTATGTAAGAGAATAACCTCATGCCCTCAAGGAAGAAAAGGAATTTTTTTTTTCTTTTTCTTCTATTTTATTTTTTATTTTATTTTTTATTTTAAAGATGTTGGTTACAATTCAGAGGGGAAGGATTTCTTAAACAAGACATCAGAAGTACAAATTACAAAGAAAAAACTGACATATTTAGCTACATGAAAATTAACAAATTCTGCTTGTCAAGATCACCATAAAAGTAGTAAAAAGACATACCACAAACTGTAAAAAGATATTTGTAACAAGTAAGTGACAAACTGACAAAAGACTAGAAGCTAAAATATACAAACATGCACAAATAAATAAAAAGGACAAACAACCCAAGAGAAAAATTGGATACAAACTGAAAAATATTTTCACTTAAAAATCAAATACAAATGATCAATAAAATAGAAAAACAAAAAAAATTTAACCTCATTAGCAATCTGGGAAATTCAAATTAAAACCTTAATGAGATGTCATTACACACCAAACAGGTTAGAAAAATTTAACAGTTAGACAGCACCAATCATTGGAGAATGCAGAAGAAATAGAACTTTTATTCAAAGCTCCTGGGAGTATAAATTAGTTAGAAATTCATAAGCCCTATAACACAGCAATTCCATTTCTGGTGCTGCTTACTTGAGAGAGAGATTCCCCTCTGGTGCATGGATGCAGGTAAAATGTAAAATAAAAAAATACATTCGGGCTTCTGCACTAGACTGGAGTCCAGTCTCTTTCTCTCTCTCTCTCTTTCTTCTTCCCCCCAATCGCTGACGCCAAGAAAATAAAAAAAAACAAGAAAAAAAAATACATTCATGCAACATTATATGTAAAGCAAAAATACTTATAATTACTCTGTATTCATCAACATTAGAATGGAATACTTCATTCTCTAGTATATCCATATCGTGGAGGACCACATAGCAGTGAAAATGAATGACCTATGTAGCTCACGTAGCAATACTGTATAATTAAATTACAAAAACATAATTTTAAGCAAGAAAAATCTGCAGCATACACACTTTGTAATACCATTTATCTAAAGTGAAAAAACCATATAATATTTTGCATATGAATATACACATATGTAGTAAAATATAGAGAAAAGCAACAAAATGGGTAACAGGAAATCTAGGACAATGATTACCCCTGGTGGGGGAGGAGGTAATGTGATTGAAAAGAGAGGACAAAGAGCTTCTACATACCAGTCACACACTATTTCTTAAGGTGGGTGGTAGATACAGAGGTGTGCACTATCTTTTTATTCTCTTATTTATAAGTAAACATTTTTTTTCAGAGTTCAGCTGTTTATTGAACACATTATAAAAGGTTTAGTCATTCTTTTGTATGCTTGCAATAATTCAAAAATTTTCAAAGATTCTGTTTATACTATTCCAATCTACATTTTGCTTTTCAAAATTTACAAATGCAGAAGACTTCTAATTATATGCTAAGTTATATTTTCTAAGAAAAAGAGTCAAGGTCCTAAATGCCATTTAGATATCACATATTTAAATGTACATTGCTCTTACCAGCGCCGTGCGAGGTAATTAAAATTGAATTCAAACTGACTCAACACATCTCCTCCTGTGGTATGAGAAAAATATTTACATTTGGTGGATTAGTGCCAAGCATAAATAACATGCTTCTTTCAACATGAGTTCTCACAAGCCGAATTATTAGTCCTTCACATTGTTACAGGCTTTTTGTTAATTGTTTTAGGTACAGACATATCTTTCTTTAGGAAAAAGCAATCTTTAAAACTCTTAGCTAATGAAGCATAGGAATGAAGAAAGAGTCACCCATATAACCAGATAGTTTTTTTGTTTGTTTGCTGTTCTTTTTTTTTTTTACTTTAAGGAAAGATAAGCCATAAGAAAAGTTATTTATTTATTTATTTATTTTTTTTTGAGTTGGAGTCTCACCCTGTTGCCCAGGCTGGAGTGCAGGGGCATGCTCATGGCACCACAGCCTTGACTTACTTGGCTCAGGTGATCCTTCCTCCCAAGCCTTTCAAGTAGAGGAAGGGGTCTCACCAAATTATTATTGTAGAGATGAGGTCTCGCCAAGTTGCCCAGGCTGGTCTTGAACTCATGGGCTCAGGCAATTCTCTCACCTCAGCCTCCCAAAGTGCTGGGATTAAAGGTGTGAGCCACCACACCCGGCCTAGAAAAGTTATTTTAAATAATCACCACTCACCACCTGGTTTGTATATTTAAAGGTAATTTACTACAAAAAAAAAAAAAAAAAGATGGAGTTTGCCAATTTAAAGCTAAAGTATTAGGATATCAGGAGACACTAATTAATTTTAATCCAAAAAATAAAGTTTCTAAAATTATAATACAAGTTAATAATAAGATGTAGGGCTTTTTAAATAAAAAGGTCTAAACACAACTTATTAGAAATATATCTCTATGTTGAACAAGTAACATCTATACTCTAAATGAACTGCAATATTAAAATAGTATATGCTACCGACAAAACACTTAAAATACTATATTTAAAGTACAGTCGTTTTTCATTATAAGTCAGTCAAAAGTACCACAGGAGAAAATTTGGCAAATATAAATAAACAGTACCAAAATCACCAGTTGAATGAGCCTCAGAATAGACGCCATGAAAATCAATCTGTGGAAGAAAGAGAACCATCTGGTGTATATCACAAATTGTAGCCCAAACTCCTACCCCCACAATCAAGCAAGGAGTGGGGAGATGATAGCCTAACCCAAATAATTGCTGAGGATGCATCATAGATAGACTCAATTTTCATACTAACATTTTTTTTTTTTTTTTTTTTAGTTGGAGTCTCACTCAGTCGCCCAGACTGCAGTGCAGTGGCCACTCCCAGCCACCGCAGCCTTGCCTGCTGGGATCCGGCGATCCTTCCATCTCAGCCTTCCAAGTAGCCGGAATTACAGGCATGCGCTACCACGCCCAGCTGATTTTTTGATTTATTGTAGAGATGAGGTCTCACTGCCCAGGCGGGTCTCGAACCCGCGGGCTCAGGCAATCCACTCACCTCGGCCTCCCAAAGTGCTGGGATTACAGGCTGAGCCACTGAGCCCGGCTACATTTTATTTTATTAATAAAAATATATATATGGCAGCTGAATTGGATACAGAATGCCTGGTAAGAAAGCTGTTGCAGACAATTGTGCCATATATACATGAAGGCATCAAAAAAAATGTATACACATTTTATGTATGACATTCACTCAAAAGACAGCTAATCAAATGAATGCTTAGTGTCACCATGTGACAAGCAGGACAAAGAAAACGGCGAAAGCATGGGTGAGTGAACATCCTACTACACATTGCTAGTGTAATTTAATTCAACTCTGAAAAGTAATACATAGATAACATTGATTTAAATGTGTATACTTTTTTGGCACCTCCGTATATATGTAAAATCTCTGAGTCCAAGTTTAAACTTCTAACAGACTGGAATTGTTTTGCTTTGTTACTACAGGAAGGAGAGAGCTCTTTTTTTTTTTTTTTTTTTTTTTTTTGAGTCAGAGTCTTACTCTGTCGCCCAGGCTGGAGTGCAGTGGCACACTCACAGCCACTGCAACCTCAATCTGCTGGGCTCAGGCGATCCTTCCACCTCAACCTTCCAAGGAGCCAGAACTATAGGCACGTGCCACCACGCCCAGCTAATATTTTGTTTTATTGTAGAACCACCATGACTGACCTCAGAATGGAATTAATATAAACTAGTGACCAGAAGCTAAGTTACCAGGTAAGATCACAATTTTCAGTATGGGATATGGCACTTTTATACAGAAAGTTTAAAAGAAAAAGTCAAAAAAAGTGGGACTTGCTGGGTTCATTGGCTTATGCCTGTAATCCCAGCACTTTGGGAGGTCAAGGCAGGAGGATTGCTTGAGCCCAGGAGTTCGAGATTAGCCTGGGCAATATATAGCAAGACCTCATCTCTACAAAAAATAAAAATGATTAGCTGGACATGGTGGCACATGCCTATAGTCCCAGCTACTTAGGAGGCTAAAGCAAGAGGGTCACCTGAGCCCAGGATGTTGAGGCTGCAGTGAACTTTGATCATGCCACTGCTCTCCAGCCTGGGCAACAGAGTGAAATACTAACTCAAAAAGAAAAAAAAAAGTGGAACCATTACTTTTAAATAGAACCAAGTGGCAGGTATTCATATCCTTATTAAAACACACAGATTGAATAAAACATAAAATTTCTCAACAGAACATCACATTCATTGCTGTTTTCAGTACACATTAGTCACTCTGCCCTTGTAAATGAGTCTACCCAGGTGGCAAGAAGAATAAAAGGAATGAATTGGAAAATATGGAACTCTAACCAAACACCTCTTTGGGCAAGAAGTCTTGTTTGTACATGACATCTGAATAACCTAATGTTTTCTTTCCTCTAAGAGAATTGGTTTTTGATCGTAGGTAAGACATAAAGTCATTAACCATAAAGAGATGTATGTACTCACAGCTCCCATTGTCCTGAGGAATCCTTGTTCAATTCCCAGGCTATGCCAGCTGACATCTGCCACCATGTGAGAGGTAACTCCAAATAAGAAAGCTACCAATTTCTCTGTGTCCTGCCAAATAAACAAATTAGTTATGTGTGTTTGGATGGTTTTATAACAACAACCCTATTGAAAGTTTTAACAAACATGAATTTAATTCCATTATTGAGACTTAACAAAATAATTAGAAACATTTACATTGCAGTTTCTAGTTATCAAAAAACTTCTAAAAAGTGTTTTCAGATTAATTATTATTGGAGCAAAACAACCAAGAGGCAGATCCCAAACTTTTTTTTTTACAACTTATTCAAGTATTAGCTAGCTGTCTACTATGTCTCAAGCACTGTGCTTGGCATAGTAGACAGCACTTAGAGTCTAGTGGGGAGGGTGAAAATGGGGGTACACGCAGGTGTAAAAACAGTACTTGTCAGATTTGGAGTTGAATTTTTTTAGGGCTAGAGGGCTGTGCCTACCTTCTCCCAGGGAAGGGGATAATTCTCTCGGATATAATGAATGCTTGCATTAAGAAACGGAGTCCAGTGAGTACTTTCAGACACATCATGGAATTTTCCTGACAAAGCAAACACAGGGGAGTTCTGGTAAGATGGCGACGGCATAGGTGGAACCCTGAGATTCTCTGAAAGTGAGTTCCCAAAAAGACTCTTACTTTCCTTCCCCCACCCCCCTGCCCACCGCCAGTTGCACTGGTCCAAGGCCTGGAGATTCTCGGACCCACGCAAGGCCAGCTGTTGAGGCCTCTCAGCTGCTACTGCTCCACTATAGGTGGCCCTGGCCCTGGCTGTGTGGAGATCCCAGCTCCCTCCCCGGCAACAACATCTCACCTGGCAGCCCTTGGATACTGCCTTGTGAAGATCTGGGTTCCCTTGCTGGCTACACTCATTTGCCCGGCACTCAGCTGCTGCCAGCTCTCTCCCTGATTGGGCGCCCAGTCCAGCAGGCCCAGTACTCGCTCCTCAGAGTTCTAGCTCCCCACCCTGGGTTCTGGGCCCCCCCTCAGCCCTATTTCAAGCCGCTGTCACTCAGGGAGGCTCTAGGCACCTGCCCCTCAGAGATACCAGCTCCATTCCTGGCTGAAGTGCCCTGTGCGGGGCCCAAACCCACTGTCACCACTCACCACCCACCCTTTAGAGCTCTGGTCCCCGCTCTGGCTGAGACACCCAGCGTGTGACTCCGTGGTTGTGTAAGGGAACAGTATATCTTAAGGAGGTGCTGATCAGCTACTCTCAGCTCTCAACTCCAGAAGAGGGAATTCCCAGCTCCCTCCTCCAACCCAGGCCACTGGCAGCACACCAGATTCAATGCCCAGCTGTGTTGCTGATCCCACAGCCCGTCATAGTGGATCGCCCACGGACCCGGGCAAGTGGAGAGAAAGGACGGGTGGAGAGAAAGGATCCTTGAAAGAGGAGCTGCCCACCTCAGCCATTTTATAGGCAGAGATTTGCATTGCCCCAGCCACCTACGAGCAGCCTTCACCTTGGTTTCTAAGGTAACTTCGCTAAACAGGAGACAAAAGCCCCCCCCCCCACCAATCAGATACAGGCAACTCAGGTCGGACACAGACCTCTCAGGCAGCAAGCCAAGGGAACCAACCCAAGCTTGGAATAAATCTATCTGCCTACAATGAAAGCAAAGGAGAGAGGCTAGAGATCAGAGCTGAAGAGACTTTAGACACTCAGGAAAGATTCCACAGCTAGTCTGGTTTCTTATTTTGATTTCTGATTTTATTGTTTTGACTGTTTGTTTTGCTCACTTTTGTTTGCTTTTTTATTTAGACTACCTGCTTGTGTTGGGGAAAAATGCATCAAAAGGTATGATTTGATTGGATTGTCTTTATGTGATTACCGGTATCCTTTAGGGAATTTTGTTTGTGTGTCTGTTTCTCACTCTTTTCTGGTCTTGTGTCTCTTTTTCACTCATTAGTTAGTATGTATGTCTGTTTTCTCTCTCACTCTTCTCTCTATATAACTTCCTCCTGACCCCCCTTTCTTCCATTATTTTCCTTTTTCATACTTCATTTTGTTCCAGGAAGCAAACCTAAACCCTGCTGCACGGACAGATTGTAAGGCAGTGGGAAATGGGTTCCAGTGTGTCCATACACCTGTTGGTGGATACTGAGATCTGCAGATAGATTCTGAATCACAGATTCCCCCTTAATTAAACCTCAAAACTGCAAAAAGTACAGCCCCCAACCCACAGTCCAGCCTCAAAAGTGAACAAAGTCAGAGGACCCTCATAAGGAAGAACAG